CGTCAAGAAGAAAGTTTTATATGAAATGCTTCATCAAGAATCAGTGAAAGGGTGCCTGATATATGGGTCATTTCAGTTTGGTCTTCAATTTCCTTGCTTAATTGTGCTTCATATTTAGAGCTTTGCCTTACTAATACTGTGCTGGTTGGCTGACAATGTTTGTCTTGAAGTTTCAGCTTGACGGACCATTTGATTGGTTTTGTCTTTCTATCTCCAAGTAATTTCATAAATCATTTCCTTAGTTTCCTCCCTCAGTTGACAAAAGATGATTATATTATTTACATGATGCATGAGAGTTCTTAGTTTCCTCCCTCAGTTGACAAAAGATGATTATATTACCTACATGATGCATGAGTTCTGGTATCAACTGTCACAGAATCGGGCTTTGCCCATCATTATTACATGAGATGATTCCATATTCAGATTTGCTGCACTAGCAAACAAAGCTGGAAATGTGAGGTCATCTTTTGAGATACCTCTCCAAGGTAGATAATATTACTGAAAACCAACATTCACTAGTTTAGGTATCTCAACCTCTCACTTATTCTGCTTTCTGCATGTCCAAAGCTTTCTCATAACTGAGACACATGACTATCATGAAATTGATCTTGTCCTTGGGCCTCCTGTGATTGGATTGCTACAACATCACCAACCGATTAATTAGTGGAATGCTTACGTAATCGCATTCTATATAGGAGGATATATAAAGATTTACATGGCTCTGGGAGCTAGTTCTTGGTCCTGTGGATAACTATTGGAACTTGGGAAACTTTCTATCCAGACTGAAATCAAGTTACAGCATCACACAGAGGAAGAAGAAACTAGCAAAAAACAGGCTAATCAAATTGCTATCTGATGGCCTAAATGTTTAACAGTCGAAAATTGCAAAGCCTTTTTACAGATGAAAGTTTTGAGCCATTTATAGCTGTACTTGCTGGATTTTATTATCTAAGAAAGACATGTACTGTAGGTCTATACTTACCAAAAAAACACGTTTTCAGGTAGCACCAAAGCAGAAGATTAGGATCAAATTGAGGTCATATTGGGTACCCCTGATAGAAGACTCATGCAAGCAGATAATGGATGCTGCAAAGAATACAAACGCAAAGACAATGGGTCCTGTGCCGTTACCAACCAAGAAGCGGGTATATTGTGTTCTGAAATCTCCCCATGTCCACAAAGACGCCAGGTTTCACTTTGAAATCAGAGCTCATCAACGTCTTATTGACATACTTTACCCCACTGCCCAAACAATTGACTCACTGATGCAGCTCGACCTTCCTGCTGGGGTTGATGTGGAGGTCAAGCTATGATATAGCACTCTTTTCATTTTAATGGTTACTTTTGAATATCTGTGCGTTGTAGAATGGCCATTAGCATAGCATTGAAGAGGATGATGTAATTGGCATTAACTCTTATGGATATCATAACAGGATCTTACTGCCATCTTACATTTTGCGATGTTTATAATATGTTTTGCTGTTGCTGTGAATTCATGTATCTTTTTTATGACATCATACGCTTTTGGCTTGGAATAGCGTCTACTGAAAATTTGCACACTCGTTAGCAGTGTGGCTCTTTGCTCAATTTCTACAATTGGAGACATTCTAGTTGGGCTCAGCTTTTTCACACATGCTGTCATGTTTTTTATCATCTTTCCCATGCTGTCAACCAGCCATTTGGCTTTCATTTCCCGAGTAAATTTCTCCTAATAATCTTCCAAGATTTGTGGTAACTGCTGAAACACATTACCCTTGTTTTTCTAAGCAATAATAGAAAACTTGGTACCATGATAATATAACGACTTTTGTTACTTGTGTAGTAAGCCAGGATCGACTCGGATAATTTGTTATGGTTCGTGGACTCGCGAATTCTTTGCTAATTTCGCCTAGCCCTTGATGCCATATCAAGTTTTTTTTTTTCCATTGTATCCTGTCGTTGACTGCTCTCTCTTCCAACTGCATGTATTACTGGGTCCTTGGGCCTTCACCAAGATGGGTGCAAGGAAAGACTACGTCAATGGTACTGGTATACTAAGTTGATTTGGCAGCCAACATGGTCAACTAATGGACACCAAGTCTCTGCTGGGCTGCCAGAAAAGCCTCGAGTGGCAACACAGAGTGGGGAAAATTTTGTGAATCTTTTAAGTTCTCCGCTGACGTGTATGCTTCTGCAGACTAATCCCCAGCCAAAGTTTATCAAATTTAAAGCCCTGCGTGTAATTCTCAAGTAATGAAGCGTTATGTTGCTTTAGAGCACGTATTGGGTTTGCCTAGTTAGCAGATGCTGATATTATTATACTATCTGATTGTGATCCTTTATGACGCTGAGCATATATGATGGTTATCAACAAATCATGTCCCTGAATCTTGGGCTCTGAGGAAGAAGACAGGAAACAAAGGATGCTCTTTTTTTTTTTTTGGGTTCAGTGTAAGTGGGATGGGAGCTCTCAAATCCGAAATCTCTCGCTTATATTTTCACCTTTCGTACCATCTAACCCATCCCTCCTCGCTTAAAAACCTAAAGGATCCTACTAATTCATTACAGATCAAATTTAGAGTCTCAAATGCTCAAGTGCTGTGTTTCTTGCAAGTGGAAGGCACTAGCTATCTTGACAACCAAGACTCTAATATACAGCCAAAACTGCCTAGTATAGGCGGCTCTTACTGATATGCTGGAGGTAGAATGAAATGAATGTAGCTGCTCTGGCTGATGAAAAGCCAATTCAAAGTTCAAACCACAAAAGAATCGACATTCGACCGGAGGGCCCTTCAGGGAGTGACGAAGAAGATTGCAGGGTAGGAGACCCAAAAGTTCTATCCACTTCTTTCATCTTCAAAGTTGATAATATAACATCCCCATCACTGAATTTTACGACCATAAAGTAAGCGAAGGGGACTGCTCATGAGTCATGAATGGCAATTCCTAGGAAGTGTGCATGCCTCGTTTTGTTGCTAGGGAATCTATTATTGCTTTTGTGACTCTTATTTCTATGAATGAGGCTCCATTATTACCCAATAAATAAATGCCAATTGCCAATACCATCCCAATTTGGACGAATAATTAATAAGGGTGTGTCATTTGGATAGTCCTATTTTCCTTTTTTATCTGTCTCAAACTGTAGTTCACTTTTCAATTGAAAAATGTAGTTATCTTTTAATTTCTCTAAAATATCTTTATTCAATGTAGGTTGTTATTAGTATAAATTACCTTATTTAATATAAATTATTATTGAATATAACATACCCAATTTAACGTAAAATGAGGATTGATTATTTTTTGACCATCAATTCAAATTTCCATAAACTATCAATTCAAGTTTCCATGAATAATTAATATAAAATTGTACTCTATTTAATGTAAGGGTATTTTAGAAAAATAGCAATCTAAATTTGTTTTTCTAACAAAATTAATTACTTTTCCTTAAACTGTGTGAAAAAAAAACTATGACTATTAAAATGGGACAGGGAAGTATCAAAATGCAAATCATTAATGGAAGTCTTAAATGTGGTTTGCGCGTAGTATTTAATCATAATGCATGATGGAGAAACTGTAAATTTTTTGCATTTTCATTTTTGGCCAATCATTGACATTTAGATGGACCCTTTTGGATGAAATAACCACAACTAATATGCATTAGTTTATGGGGTGATCAGTGATGTTATATACTGCTCCTAAATGTACATAAAATGATATGAAATTGAAGAATGCAAGTAACCTCAATTGTCAAACGATAGGAATTGTATGCGGAAGCTTCAGGTGGACGCTCCCCAGACGTAAGGGATTACATAATTCACCTCCCACGCTTGTGTTGTGACAAACCTTATGGGGGGTTTGTGTTCAAGAAGAATACGATATGTGTGACGCGGCGGCGGCGGCGCGGCGGCCACAGTGAATACCGTTTTTGCATCCGTCCGGGAAGGTGGGTGCATTGATTTGAGTCCAATTATTAGGTTCGATTACGGAAGCAATTACATCATTATTGTCTTTAAACGCTCCCGCTGCCGCTTTTAACATTTCCGCGTTTCATCATCATTGGTCTATAGCATTGCATATGGTTCGTCCATTTGGAGTCCTGTTTGGATTACCTTTTTTTTTTCCAAAATTTTTTAAACTTTTTGTGAACACATTTTTTTTTTATTTATCTTTCTACCTTACATATTTCAAATTTTTATAATACATTTTAATATTGCAAAAGAACAATTTGTCTGGATAGTGAGTTATTTGCACATTTTATTTGTTTATATCATTAATACATTTTTCAAACATCTTTTTATCTCACATACATCACATTAAAAAATGCTACGACATTTTTTTTTTTTTCAAAAACTTGTCCCATATATTTTGTTTGGATAGTGGATTATTTGCACATTTTTTCTTTCATGAAATCATTAATGGTATTTGGGCATGAGATTATTTGAAATATTTAGTCCTCATTAACGGTGTTTGGATATGAGATTATTTAGAATACTATACTACTTTCTGTAATGCCATATATGTAAAATTTTGTGGGTTATATAATTATTTTAAAACTATAATAACTATTTTACTTTCTATTTTTTTTGGATTTATATTGTGTCTTAGGACACCAACTAGATAAACTTTTGGCTATTGCCCACCAAATTGCTTATTGCCCTCTCAATAGCAAATTACAAATTACTGTACAAATTACCTGGTTTTTTTTTTTTTTTTTGTCAAAACGGCAACATTTCATTCATCAAAACCAAGTTACACATTCTGGAGCAACTACTCCTCAATGTCTGCTTGAGCACTATCAAGCAACCAAACTGGAAAACAAGCTTTCCAATCAATAACAAACCCTAAATTTAGAGCAAATTTTGCTAACTTATGGCTAACAAAGTTGAACTCCCTTCAAACAAAGGAGAAACAACATTCCTCAAAGTTATGTTTTAGCAGCTTAATATCCTGCAAGACTGTGGATATAACCACATCATCCGTATCCTTCTGTATTCTATCTATTACAACCTTACAATCTGATTCTATAATGATCCTTTCCCAGCCTTCCAAAGCAGTTTAACCATTGCAGTTCTGATTGCCAATGCCTCCTCGAGTATTGGTGCTGAATATGTAAAGGAAGGACAAGCCAATGTAGCAACCAACTTCCCCTTCCAATCTCTAGCAACAATACCCCAGCCAGCTTTATTTGTCTGCTGATTCAAGGCAGCATTAGTATTCAACTTGATCCACCCTTTATCAGGAGCAGCCCATCTTTCTTGCTTCCTTACCCTTTGCCTTAACTCCCTCTCTTCCTCCATTCCCTCACCTTGGATCTCCTGGTACTCTAACCATTCTGTTAATGCCTTATGTACCACCACTCCTGGAGCCCTACCCTTTCCATTGAAGTTTATCTCATTCCTATCCTTCCATATTTGCCATAGCAGGTTGACTGTGAAAGTAATGTGCTCCTCCCCCTTCTCCCTAACTGTTGCCTCCACCAACTCAGACCACCACAACCAAAACTTCCCTCTCAAACTTTCCAAACCATCCCACTGAATTGGAGCCATTTTCCAAATAGCCTCTGCATGATTACATAGAAACAACATATGTTCAGTCGACTCTGAACAGACCTCACAGCATTTACATAGTGGATTGCCTTGCATGCTCCCAGCCTTGATGTTTTCATTGACTGGCAGAATACCCTTCATGCATTTCCAGATAAAATGTTTCAGTTTATGCTTCATATTAAGTTGCCATAAGACTTTCCATCCCCTTGCATTTACCTCATTCCTACATCCAGATTCTTCATGACTATTTCTCACCCTCCTCCCTATCTTCCTCTCCTGAGCAGACCTGTAACCAGACTTGACAGTGTACTCCCCAGAAGCAGAATGTGCCCAGAAGAGTCTATCCTTGGTATCCTGCAGGCTCAAAGGAATCTGCAGAATCCTCTCCCTATCCTTCTTAACAAACACCTTTCCCAGCAACTCCTCATTCCAACTCCCATTTTTAATCAGCTAACTAACTCTACTCAATCCCAGACTTGAATCCTGTTGTGTGCTCACCTTCACTCCTGCCACCCCAGGGATCCATCTATCCTTCCAGATGTCTATAGTCTTCCCATCTCCCACTCTCTTCCTCACCCCTCTTCCATCAGTAACCTTGCACTCAAAATGCTTTTCCAACACCATGAATCAGTATGTTTCCCTTTCATCTTCCAGATTGAGGTGCCTTTGAAGTATTTGGCTTTAAGGAGCTTATACAAATTACCTTGTTGATTGCAATCCATGTGAGATTGAATGACGCCTTGTTTGGAAAGGGATTTTTTATCAAAAAAAATTTCTAATGCCGCCTTGTTTGGAAAAGGATTTTTTATCAAAAGAATTTCTACGTTTTTCGTAAATACATTTTTCAATCACTTTTTTATTTCATATGTATCAAATTGCGACATTACACTTTCTACAAAAACTTCAGAAAATTGCAATTCAAACACAACCATTTGGCTAAATAAAGACAAGTGTGAAAAACCCCAAGTGATAGTATATGTCACCAAGTGCATTTTTTTTTTTTTTTTGTCGACACAGGGGTGTCCGGGTCAATTCTTATGGGGCCCGACTAATCCCCTGCGGCCCGGGCTCGACGCCCCAACCCGACCCGAACACGTTAAGTGCGCGGAGGAATCCAACGTAGCGGAGACTCGAACCTGTGACCTCAAGGGTCACTGGTGAGAGGCGTTGCCGCTGGACCATTCACGCGGGAACCACCAAGTGCATTTGATACTTTAGATTTCAAACGTTAACTGTTTCTCCATTTGTCAACTCGAAGAAGAATGCCATTTGGATTTTCTAACTAAAAAAATCTACCTTAAAAAAGAAACTAATTAATGCCACTATCCTCGGACAATAGATATGCTATTGCAACTTTCTAAGGTGAGATAAATGATGTGGACCTTCAATTGATTGGTTCCATAAAAATAGACAACAAGAACAAAATATACAAATGCAAAAAAAAAAAATCATGCCGACTTTCCTATTGACCGGTGCCATAAAAATATAAAATGAGAATAGAAAAGAAATTTGTTGGATACGTTTATGGCTGTATTTGGATTGGACCATCTTCTATGAACAATAAATAAATACAGTACCAGCGTATGCCGTAGGAGCATCCATCATTATATAACCGGAAGATTCGCACAAGAAATTCGTTTTATTCTTTCTCTTCTCTTCTTCTCCGAGGAAAATAATTAGTACTAGTAGCAATTAAATTTTTTTTATTTTTCTATGAAATTTCTGGTTATTGCTCTATCCACAATTCCTCCGCCTCTATATAAATCTCACTTGTCATCCCCCCGTCTCCTTGTGCCTATGTCCACAGATTTTCTCAGATCACCAACAAACATTCTCAAAGCCATCTTTTTTAACCCTCCCAAAACTCCTAAGATTCAACCTTTAGCCATGGCAGCCTGTATTCACACTTCAAGAGCAGAGAATTCTAGGACCAGCTCACTTTCTTGCGATCCAAACGGGTCCCAAATTGATGATCGTGTCTGCAATTACATAAAATACTGCAGACCTAATTTTTCTGACCTTGTTTCTTGTGTGCCCAATTCTGAGAATCATTCAAAAAGCATACGCATCCCCGAAGATTTGGGCAGCTTTGACCCTGTTCAAAATCAGGATGATTTATGGGTGAGGATGAAAAATGAGGCAAGATCAGATATTTTGCAGGAACCTATCTTGTCAAATTTCTATGTTAATTCTATATTGGCACATGATTCCTTGGAAAGTGCTTTAGCTAATCATCTTTCTGTTAAATTGAGCAATTCTGGGACTCTTCCTAGTGGTACGTTGTTTGATCTTTTCTTAGGTGTTATAGCTGAGGATAAGGAAATTATTAGAGCTGTCAAGGATGATTTGAGAGCAGTTAAGGAAAGAGACCCTGCTTGTATCAGTTATGTGCACTGTTTCTTGAATTTCAAAGGATTTTTAGCCTGCCAGGCTCATAGGGTGGCTCATAGTTTGTGGTCTAATGGGAGGAAAATATTGGCACTGTTGATACAGAACAGAGTATCTGAAGTTTTTGCGGTGGATATTCATCCTGGGGCAGATATTGGTAGGGGAATATTGCTTGATCATGCTACCGGCGTTGTTATTGGAGAGACTGCGGTGATTGGAAATAATGTTTCAATCTTGCACAATGTGACCCTTGGGGGCACTGGCAAGGCATCTGGAGATAGGCACCCAAAACTTGGTGATGGGGTGTTAATTGGTGCTGGTACTTGTGTCTTGGGGAATGTTAGAATTGGAGATGGGGCTAAAATTGGCGCTGGTTCAGTTGTGCTCAAGGAGGTGCCTGCTAGGACTACTGCTGTTGGAAATCCAGCAAGGTTGGTTGGAGGAAAGGAGAACCCCATTAGGCTTGACAAGATGCCCAGTTTAACCATGGACCACACCTCACATATATCTGAGTGGTCTGATTATGTTATCTAGATTCTGGGTATATTTATATACATGTGCTTGTAGTTGGCAAGCAGGAGGAGTTGAGTATTGAACTTGTCATCTTGATAGTTAAAGTCAAGATGGTTCTCTAGCGCCAACCCTTACTGTAGAATGTTTTTTACATTGTTCCCATCTAGGTCTTTGTTTGATTAGTCCCAGGGAACGTAACTCCTCTCTGTCTTATATTTCTAAGAGAGAACCTAAGTTCTCCAATTCATGTACCAAGGCCTGATAAGATTGCAAGTTTGGCCACGGACAGTATATCAGATATCTCTGATTGTCATGGATGAAATGGTATTTCAATTTTGCTGATCTCAACTAGTATTTTGTTTATGTTTTTCATTTTCTGTATTGTAACTCGTGCTACACAAGAATGGCGATTCAAATTCTAAACATTTTGCACAATGCAACTCAAGTAAAATGATTTCATCAAAATGTGAGCGCATTTGAGTAGCATTTGGAACAAATTTTGTGTATATCCCTTCTGGTACTGGAAGAAGAATTTGCCTAGGGATACACAATTTGCTCTGATAAATATGGAGCTCCCGCTTGCAAAATTACTGTATCATTTCGATTGGAGTTTACACAGAGAAATGGACAGGAAGAGTTGGACATGACAGAAGCCTCAGGGATCACAGTAAGAAGCAAAGATCATCTTTTTCTTGCTCCTCCTCTTGTAGTAGACTCAGCAAACTGATGTTTCATGTTTTTCATCTGCGGGTTGAATAATTGCTTGCAAGGAAATAAGATTATCTGGAATTAACCTTAACGTCTTAAAGTTGATGAATATTTCATTAGCTAATTACCTAAAGCTCTCATATAAGCACCAGTTGCACTCATGAATTGATATTTATGCTTGTGGTCAAAAGATTTTAGTGCCTTGGATCCGTTTTTCAGTGCAGCAGCTAAGCACAGAAAAGTTGAATCCATAGACAAGTAATTTATAGCGGGTCACTTAGATCAATGGCTTAAAACCAAATCATATCAGACAAATCAAAATAAACAATTAGGTACGCGGATCATCTCCTACGTAAGCTGCCTCATAAACTACAGACAATTTTGTCTTCGTTCCCAGATAAACCGTATATGACTATAAGATATTACTTCCTCCAGTCACTTGAAAAAAAAAAGTAGTTGCAATCTTTCAATCTTTTCTTCCGGTTAATTGGATGTGAAGCATTCAAAAAACCATTTCTAGTTTTTTATTCAAACCATTGTTAGCACTTTGTCGTTTCAAGTTTCAACCCTCATGGAGTTCATCACCGTCATTGCCTTCTTTATCTTTCTCTTCATGCTAATCAAGCTTCTGAAAAGATCGGTAATGAAATCAGATCTGAAGATGCCTCCAGGCCCAAAACCACTTCCAATTATTGGAAACTTGCATCAGCTCTTTGGCTCTCTAGCACATCGAACCCTAAGAGATTTGGCCATCAGGTATGGGCCACTGATGCACCTAAAGCTAGGTGAAGTATCCACACTGGTGGTAACTTCTCCAGAGGCTGCTGAAGAGTTCATGAAAACACATGATCTCCAATTTGCCAACAGGCCTCAACTGATAAGCGTGAGGATTTTCAATTACGATTGCACTAACATTGCATTTGCTCCATTTGGGGAATACTGGAGACAGCTGCGCAAAATCTGTGTCATGGAGCTCTTAAGCAGGAAATGTGTCCTGAGTTTTCGGCCAATTAGAGAAGAGGAGGTCCTCAATTTCATCAGAGATATTTCCTCAAATCAGGGATCAACAGTTAATATTAGCAGAAAAATCTTCTCGTTTACGTATGGCCTTGTTGCAAGAGTTGCTTTCGGCAAGAAGAGCAAGTACCAAGAAGAATTCATCTCACTCATGGAGGTAGCTTTAAAGATGAATTCAGGTTTTAATGCAGCGGATGTGTATCCTTCAGTCAAAATCATTCAAGTGACAAGTGAAATGAGTCCTAAGTTGAATAAAATGCACAGGGCTCTTGACAAAATCCTTGAAAACATAGTTGATGACCATGCGCAGAAAAGTCGACAAATAGTTCCTACGGATGGAGCAACAAAGGAAGATCTGGTTGATGTCCTTATAAACGCCCAAAAATCCGGTGATTCTGGGATCCCCTTGACCAAGAACAATATAAAAGCAGTCATACTGGTGAGTGAGTGATATTTATCAATTTTCATTCAGAAAGAAAGTAATGAATTTTTGCAATTTGTTTACTGCGCTAGCTACCAGCTTGCTGAGAAGCATGGTTCAAAGTCGCGGTCGCGGTTGTGGTCGCGGCCTGGACCGTTCCACATCGGTCTCTGTATATCGGTCGCGGTCTCGGCGAGACGCGAATTTTTGAAATATTTAATATTTTAAAAATTGTAAAAAATATGATAAACAAAAATAATTAAAAAATTAGTAAAAATAACAAAAATTCGAGTTGACTCGGGATGACTTGGAGTGATTCGGTGAGACTCGGCCGTTTCAACCCTTTACGGTGATGTCTCGGCGAGTCACGTATCTCGGTATCGTTTCATCGCGATCTCGTCTCGGACTAGACCGAGACGGTGACGACTCAGCCGAGTCGTCTCGGTCTCGGCCGAGTTTTCGAACCATGCTGAGAAGAACATGCTTGCCATTTTCATGTATAATTCAGATGAAAAGAAAAGTGTGATTCAGGTTAGTCGTCATGTGGTTAAAAAAATAAGCCTTTTAGTAGGGGAAA